ATGATTCTTCTCCCTCATCTTTGCCTTCACAGCTTCCCTACTATCAACCACATTTTGCAACTCTACAACCGATAGAGATCCGTACAAGTTATGTACATCACCCAAATCTTCCATTCTCGAACCACCTAAAAGAAACTTGGCTCCCACTAACACTTGGAGGCTTTTCAACTTGCTCAGATATAGTGGCATCTTCAAGAGAGAAGTGTTGCTTATGTCAAGATGACGCAAGTTGATCAACATCTCCATCTGCAGTGGTAGCTCATCAAGATCAGCACAAGATTACAGGAGAAGTGTCACTAAGTTATACAATCCACAAATGGAATCTGGCAACCTTTTAATCTTTGTCCGAGAAATATCCAAAAATCTCAGGAGCTTTAATTCAATAAACAAGTCATTTGGCAACTCAACAATCTCATAGCGTGACAACGATAATGCCCTTAAGGATGTTAGTCTTGGCAATATGTTATGCAGCACCCTCTTGCTTAGCTGACCGTTGTTATAATAGGGCGGGAGAATGATTGGAAGTAATGTCCTCAGCTTCTCTGATTTAAAGAGTGATTTCAATTTCTCAAAGTCACCATCTTTTCCTATTGAATAGGACATGTGCCGACATTGTTCCAACATGTGCGATCCTTTGTTCTCTTCCAACCTTATACAAAGATTTGAAGATGCAATTTGGGCCAAATCATTGACGAGGTCATGCATTAAGAATCCCTCCGGTTTCCATTCAGACTCTGGGACCCTTTCGAACAATGATCTTGATCTCAACTCAAGAAAGTATTGGTTACCTGAATGCAACTGCTGTACAAGACCATTAGCAATCCACAAGTGAATAACTTGGTCCTTGCGAAATTGATAATCTTTGGGATATATTGCACAATAAGCAAAACATTGCTTCAAATGTGCAGGAAGATCATTGTAGCTCAACATCAGCGCTGCCATCATCAAGGCAACACTCTCTTTACGTGTCGTCACAATGATCTTACTTCCTATATCTCCTTGTACAAAAACATTTCTCAAGTCATCCCACTCGTTGTAGTTGTCATTCCACACATCGTCCAGAACAAGAAGAAACTTCTTTCCCTTTAATCTTTCCTTTAATTTGACTTGTAGCTGGTTAAGATTGTCATCAACCTTCAAGTCAGTTGAGCCAATTTCTTGAAGTAACCCTTTTGTTATTCTGAAAGCATCATATGCCTCAGAAACACAAAACCAAGCTTTCAAACCAAAATGGTCCTTCACCTTCTCATCATTGTAAACGGCTTTAGCAAGTGTTGTCTTACCCACGCCGCCCATTCCAACTATAGGAACTACAGTGAGCTTTTTTCCACTTGCATCTTCAGACAATAAACGGTCAATCAAATCCTCTATTTCACTCTGCCTTCCAAAGATATCAGAATCATCAACCAAAGAAGTTGAAGGTGTTCTAGTTTCTTGTTTAGTCGAAACAAAATTCTCCTTTAAGCCAAGGCGACCAATTTGCTTTTCCAACACCTCCAATGTTTCAATGGTTTCTTCCAACTTATCCTTTATGTTACGAAATAAATCATCACTCAAGCACAGGCTGAGGTCACTTACTTGTTTGTTGCTTGTTTCTGCAAGATTTTGATGCTGGCCTTCCACCTTAAGCCTCAAAGCTTCATAATTGACTTCTTCTATCAAGTTTTCAGCGCCATCTACAGCACTCTGAAGCTTATTAAACCACTGGCTCACATGTCGATTTGATGCTTGCTTATTCTCTGCATCACTTAGCACAATCTGAAGACCAAGCAAAATGTCCTGCAGCTTGTGTAAGAGTTGAACATGATCCTTATGCTTCCGAAACATGTTGAGAAGATCACCATGAGGAGCAAGCCTATCAAACAGAACATTCAAAGCTGAAGAGAGAAATGCACCACCAACTGCTAAGCCAATCTCCATTTCTGAAATCTGCAAAGCAAAACAAGTAAAGTGAGAACAATAGTTTAGAGAAGATAAATGTTTGTATGTTCAATTACTAACAACTTTACTTTACCTGTTGAATGCTAAGAGTGATTTGCAAACAAGAATGGTACAACAATAGTTTTCTACAGTGACAGCTATAGGGAAAAAGAAAAGAATTTAAGCTGTCTTTTCCACGAGTATAACTTTTCCCCCCAACAACCAGACTTTGTCTTCATAATATTTTTTTATACTTGAAAACATATCAAGTTGGGAATTTGATAACATCTAGAGGTACAGTGAAATGATTAAAAGTTCTCCCTTGTAGTTGTTTTGTTATATATAATTTTATCGTATTTAATTAGAGGTTTCGAGACAGAAAAAGTATTTGTTATTTACAATAAACCAATAAATACATGTCATATGTTCAGAAAAGACTTTTCGAATTGGGAGGATTGCCTCAAGCTTCAAGTTATTGGGTAGGTTGGAGTAAATGGATGGTTTCAAATTGGGAGGATTGACTTTTTGGTATAGTGGCAATAACGTGGAGTTATGGTGTAGAATTAAATAATTACTCTAAGCATATATAGTAAGTTCTAACGTGTACTAAGAAATTATTTATGTATTATTCCTATTTTAAAAAGGGAAAAAAGAGTTGACCTATAATTTAGTGGGGACCACATACCACCAAAATTCACATATTTATATTGGAAATAAAACTTTCGCCAACTAAGCAAAGAATCTATTGTTACCAAAATCCGATCAAGAAAAAATAATAATTAAAACTCGCTAATAGTTGACACCAGGTAGATCATTGTTTGGATGATTTTAGATGTTGAATTATCTAGAAATGCCCTCTTGTATTTTTCTTTTCTACTATACAGAAATGTGAAGACAAAGAAAGACCAAGGTAAAGAAGTAAATTTACACTAATAAAAACATTTTCTTCATATATCTAGAACCATCCATTACATTCCGCCAAGGATAAAAAGGTAAATTTGTGACTAGATCTATGAATTGGAAGTGGAATTGACTAGAATTGCATCAATGTGATAACACTCGGTCTTTCTTTTTTATTTTTTTTCAATAGTTCGATCTATCCGGAAAAATTGTCGGCCTACCCCCATTCTACCAACAAACCTTTTCTTTTAGTCGGGCAAGGACTCTCGGTTAGCCGTTTTTTTTGTTCTTTGGTCATAGTGGTTGTTTGAATCTCAAGTTCCATTGTGTTGCACTAAAATTGTAACGTTATCCATCAATGGAATTGAAACTTCAAACCCTATGAAATTTGAATTTTGAATAATATGGCTTTTAACTTGACTTCATTTCACATTTATGTCCTCCAACTTTGGTATGCACAAGTAGACAGTTTAACTTGTATAAAATTGAACAAATAGACACATGAGTCTTACGTGACATAATACACACAGGACACCACGTAAGATGAAAATTGTCATGTAAGATGTCACTTAGGACGTTTGTGTCTATTTATTTAACTTTATACAAATTTAAGTGTCTACCTGCGCACATCCAAAGTTTGAGGGCATATATATGAGTTGAGGCCAAGTTAAAGGTTATATTATTTTTATATTAGATTTAAGTTAATTTCATGGGATTCAGCCAATTGTCTTGATCGTGACTCCTCTACTCTTTTACAAAGATGTCGAGATTTACTAGTAATTTCACGGGATTCAGCCATTTTTCTTTGCACGGGAAAGCCACCGGGTTCAGAGTGGTTAAGGGAGACATATTTGAAGGATCGAATCAATAATTTTGGAAGATTGAAGGTTGATAAAAATCTTAGAATCAAGGGTCATAGAAACATAAGGATTTGTTGTTGTTGTTGCAAGAGAAACTACAGTTAAAGAATATATATGTTGAATTTAGAAGGCATTTTGATAATATAACAGTTGCCAGAGGACCTGAAGCAGCTAGCTATTACTTGAATTTTGATTCTGCTATTCAATTGAGTTCTTACTTGACAAGGTAGGGATAAAGTATGCGTAAACTCTACTTTTCCCAGACTCCACTTGTAGGATTATATTGTGTATGTTGTTGTTATTCAATTGAATTCTAATGCTTCTTCCCTATCAGGAACTTAAACAAGGATATTCGGCTCAAAAACATGCTCTAATGACCGTGAAGAACTTGAAACTTTTGATGAGCGGAGGAAAAGAAAGCAAACTTGCAATATACGAGCTTTGAAGCAGTGGCTCAATTTTCGTTCACGACGATCATTGGATTAGTCCCTGAGATGAGCAAGTCTAAGGATTTATACGTTGGGAAAACAAGGAAGAAAATGGGGCTTCAAGCTAAGTAATACATATTGTTTCATTCATGAAATTTAAGGTCATTTTGAGTGTGAGAAAATGGTGCCATTTCATTGCAAAAAATTGAGTTCTTCTACTTACTTTTTGCTGTAGAATGTGCACATGAGTTACACTGCTAAGAATATTGACAACAGATCTAAAAAGTTTCTCTTGATCTCGCAACTGTATTCATTAATGTAGCTTTCATTTTTTTCAAGTAGTTCAACCTTCCAGAAAATTTTCTAGCTCTAACCCTGACATTGATATCTAGTTGTGAATCCATGTAATCATACGATCGACATTCATCCTGAATCAACCAAATTATCAAAATAGCATGAATTTTATACACTACACAATAAAGTCACACAACTACTATTTGTCACATTAAAATAACACAGTAATAGCATCGAAACAAAGACATCTGATATTCACCAGACCTTTGTGAGCTTATAAAATTTGTAAATATCCTCAACATCATATCATCATATATCATATCATATCATCATCATCATATCATATCATATATCATCATATATTACTAAAAGTGGGAAGCTCCAAAGTGTAAAGTGGAAATACCATTTTACCCTTATACTAAAAACTTTTTTTTAAAATCATATATTATTAGTTATTATATATTAAATATAAATATTATGGGATGCTAAAAATCTACTTTCTTTTTTAATTGAAATAGTAAAATGCCTGAAGAATTTGAAAAGTCAGTTTATATATTAAATACAAATATTATGGGATGCTAGAAATCTATTTTTTTTAATGAAATAGTAAAATGCCTGAGGAATTTGAAAAGTCAGCTTTTCATTAATAATAATAATAATAATAATAATAATACCATCATATATATTATTAAAAGTGGAAAGAAATTTAGGAAAAAGTTAAATTGTTGTTTTCCCCCTATATTAAATTAAAATGTTATAAAATATCTAATTTATTAAATATTCTATCATTAATTAAGAATATCATATTAAGTTTTACAATAATATAATTAATATGTATTTGAGTTTACATACGGATGAATTAATTTCCTTGGTACTGCCACTTATTTCAATACTCTAGATTGACTTATTTTCCCATATCAATTCAATGTTTTAAAGTTCTTTTCAACTTCTAATAGTAAGCTTTCAGAATTTTATAAATAGCCAGATGAGTGAATCATGCTAGACTAGATCCATTGATGTTCTCCCCCTCCTCCTCTTCTTCTAAATTCATCTTCAATATGACTGGTAAGGGTTTCATTGATATTTCTCATATGTCGGCTCTCTTAACCATCTATTAACTTATTATTATGCTTGATTATGAATTATTCTTGGGCTGCTGATAATTCTATCACGGCATACATAGTTTCTTCCTTTATAAATTGGACATAAAATGTTAGTCCACTAGACTTTCTTATGAAAATTTTAGTTTGTCAATTATTCTTTCTTTTTCAGATCAATATATTGCTTTGTTTAACACTTTTTCATTTTGTATGCATATGATGACATGTATATTTTATTGTTTTTTAAAGTTAATTGGGTTGATATTACACATGTTTCTATACATAAGTTAGGCCTATATAAATTTTATATAATAATAAAAGTCAAGCGTGCACGTTCTCAGAACTAGTATTTCATAATAGCCAAGTGATTATAAATATCAGCAGCATCAATATTAACAAACCTGATTAGTATAGTAGTATAATTCTTTGATATTTTTTCTACGAAGAAAAGTAAATTTCATCATAGTCCATCAATGATTCATAATACAGAAATTGAATTGCAAAACTTGCAACTCACAACTATGCTCACCCGGAAAACTTTAGGAATCAGGACTGCTGAAACTTGGAAGCATCGAAAATGAAACTGTAAAAAACATTCATAAAACAAATTAGAAATCGAAAAAGTAACACAAACAGAAATCGTGTAAAATAATAAAATTGACATGCCTTTAGAGGAATATTTCTGGTCGAATTGAAGAAAGTGAATTAAACAAAGAAGAGCCAAGTCTGTAATATTTAATTGACTCGGACACACTTTATAGCTGTTATAAGATGAAATTTTAAAAATGTGTAAATGAAGAAGCATCACAATTAGGAGCTACAGGAAACATTTCTAAACAGGGAAAAAAGAAATTTATACCTCAAGCAAAGTACTTAACGGTGATCCATGTCGAAATTAATACCATCGAAATTTTCTATCTTATCACGACTTTGTATTCTTAAAAAAAGAAAATATTCATATCATGTTGAATATTATTGGTTTGGAGACGACGGGCACAATCGATTTCTCACAACTTGAATTTTATTATATCAAAGTAAGGACCCGCTTCGGTCTTACAATCTTGATCACACTTGTTGCTTGCTTCAGCAACACTCTTGACTTAGCACTCACTCTTGTTTTCTCTCTTACTTTGTTTCTTGCTTTCTTTCTTGATTGGTTGCTTACAACTCAAATGGACCACCTCTATTTATAGGTGGTGATGGAAGAATCTAGAGAGATACATACTACTCTATTCTAGAATATTCCTAACTATCTTTTTCTAGAACTATTCTTTCTAGAACATTTCTAGACTATTCTTTCTAGAATACTCATTCTAGAGATCTTTCTTCAATTCTCTACACCTCCGGAATATTCTAGATTTTTCTTGATTTATCTTAAGTAAAGAATTAAGTTGGTGATGAATTCTTAACATATCATTGGTCGTTTTTCCTTTTCAACGTTAGAGCAAACATATGCATAAACTTGGGTCAGAAAATTAATTCAGTGAAATGTGAATTAGGCGACATCAACTTAGCAAACACTTCATAAAGGCATTTGACAATTTCTCATCTTCTATAGAATCAAGACATGTATTATAACTCAATCAGAAGACATGTAAAACTAAAGATAGAAGAAGATCAAGAAAAATAAAAATTTTGGATCAGCAGATGATTTAAACAACATTCGAACAATGAAAACGATATTTTCAAAAGCAATTTTCCATTTTAAGTATCTGAATACCAGTAGAAAACCGATATACTCCAACACCATTGTGATACAAAGTGGGGCAAAACCAATTTAGCGCCGCAGTAAGAAAGGGAGAAGAAAAAAATATTTGTACCTTTCCCATCAGGTGAAGCAGGAATTGAAAACTTGGGTTGAATTCTTCTACTCTGTTGATGTCTTTTGTGTCATCAGAATTGAAGGCTTGAAGCTCATGAAAATGGGTTCTAGAGAATTTTGAAACCGTTGATTTCTCTGTTTCGCAGACAGATGACTGATGAGGGTGCCAATGAAGGAAATCTATTTTGCTGATTTATGAGAGTGCAAACTATTACTACAAAATAAGTATCTTGGTAACTGAAACACCAGTAAATCATTATTTTGTTATCTAACCTTGAATTCATCACGAGCAGTATATACTTCTTTGACTTTCACTAGCTCTGAGGTGTCACTCAAGGTTGAGTAATGGACATAATTTGGAGGAAACTTCATGATCCTAGAAGTTCTCTGCATATCAAAACCAAAAAACTGATGTAATATTCTGGATCTTTGAATATGAAAAAAAAAAAACTGATGTAATAATGCAGTCGCATCAAACTTGAAACCAATGTGGTACAACATGGCATAAAAAATGGCAGCAGGCATTCAAAGTCGTTTACACTTTCTTGAAATTTGAAGCTTGATGTAACTCTTATCAAGGTCTTGGCTACCTGATTGAGAAGAGTGAGGTTGCATTTCTTAGACCCTAACATATATTAAGCAATCAATTTTCTTGAGCAAATTATCTCAATTCCTACCTATACTAGATTTCTTTTACAAATATAAAGATTTCATCCTGATCTAAAGATATTTCGTCGACTTCAAAGAAGCAATAGATGGTACACACTTGTCAAAAAGAATTAACAAACAATCAAAATATATTAAGGAAATAGAATAACTTACATCTATCAGAGCAGCACTCGTTTTAATCATTACAGGTTTTCCCAATGAACATATATGATTTGAGCAATAGACTTACCACACTGCTCAACAAGATTTCAAAAAAGTAAAAGAATTGACAAAAAAGCAAAGGGAAGAAAACAAAAATAGAATGCTTCTGAAGAAAAAGAAAAACTTACATTTGTGAGAGCACCATTTGTTTTAACCATTAAAGGTATTCCCGATCGATCTGTATAGTGGGGATATGAGCAATTTCTGGCCAGTATTCCCCCTTGTCAAATTCTAGTAGTGGTGTGAGCAATGGACAGTTGTAAATATATAGTTTAGAGAAGGAAGATGGCATCCCTTTCACTGGAAGGGATTGGAGCTTAGAGCACTCATTAATGATCAGCTGAGAGAGGGAGGAGGGCAGTGCCGATTCAGGAAGTGATTGGAGATTAGGGAAATTCCCGATTCCTAAACTTTGAAGGGAAGTGAGGTGCGAAAGCTGGCCTTGTTCCAGCATTGACTGAATTTGATGTAAATTACCCTCAATACAAAGATGTTGAAGAGAGGTGAGGCTTTTGAGATGGTTGCTGCTTAATGTTTTCAGATTCCTTATGTTAAGTGTTTGAATAGAGGAAGGCAACTCCCAGTTCTCAGCACCAAGAATCTCTTCGTCACTGCCATCATGATAGATCCATAACTCTCTGAGACAGGGAAGTCTCTGTAAATGCCACTCCTTTCGGCCATTCACCAGTTTCTTGCACTCGCTGATCTCAAGGAATTGTAAATTGAAGGGCAATCCTCCTTCAGGAAAGGACTCTATTTCTGGACAATTACTCAGTTGCAGTACCTTAAGAGATGGAAGGAGTTCCTGCATACGTTCTGGCAGCCACTTCAGCTTTGAACAGTACCCAATATCCAGTGACGTCATCTGGGTCCCCCCACATGCCACCGATAGTTTTTCAACATTCTCAAATACCCAAATCTGGAGTCTTTCAGTCACAGTAGGAATCAAAATCCTAGTAAGGTTGTGGCACTTATATACAGACAAAGAGCGTGCTCGTAAGTGTGATATATCATCTATACAATCACATTCATGCAGTTTCAAATCCTCCAGAAACATACTCATCTCACCAACTGGCGGATCCAATTTCAATTTCTGGCAACCATCTATGTATATTCTCTTCAAGGTAGTGGGCAGTATGCTAAAAGGTAAGGAGGTAACAGAGTTACAATCCCTAATATCTAATTCTTCAAACTGCTTCATTCCCTCAAGTTGGGATCTAAACAGTTGAGCATCATCAAAAACCTTTGGACAACCACTAACTTCAAACCTTTTTAAACTTGAAAGTTGGATGGGTGTCTCCAAACTGAGTTCAGGGCAATATTTAATTGAAAGGTTCTCAAGTGTAGGGAACTCTCCATTTCCTAATACGTGCCATTGCTTCCACTCCAGCATATATTCAAATTCAAGCTTCTCAAGACAGTTAAAAGGCTTTTTGGAGGACAAACTGCCATAGAATTCTTCTGTCACCTCTGTTATTCCATGCATCCCTCCAATGTAAAGATATTTCAAAGAAGGGAGTTGTCCTAGTGCTGGCAAGGAATAACAGTCCGTGCAGTAGCTAAGAGACAATTTCACCAGCTTAAGAAACAAAGGATCAGCTAACCAATTTGGAAATGTTGTCCCTCTATATCCAGTGATTTCGACTCCTTTTATGTTTTTATGCGGGCGTAGCTCATCAAGTATGTCTCTTTCTGTTTGTGAATTGTCGGCGCTACTACTTCCATTCCACTCCAAAGATAACTTGTCAACATGATTCTTCTCCCTCATCTTTGCCTTCACAGCTTCCCTACTATCAACCACATTTTGCAACTCTACAACAGATAAAGATCCATACAAGTTCTGTGCTTCACCCAAATCTTCCATTCTCAAACCACCAAGAAAAAACTTGGCTCCCATTAGCACTTGGAGGCTTTTCAACTTGCTCAGATGTAGGGGCGTCTTCAAGCGCCAAGTGTTGCTTATGTCAAGATGACGCAAGTTAATCAACTTCTCCATCTGCAGCGGTAGCTCCTCAAGATAAGCACAAGATGACAGGAGAAGTACCTCTAAGTTATACAATACACAAATGGAATCAGGCAACTTTCTAATCCATGTCTGAGAAAGGTCCAAAAATCTGAGGAGCTTTAATTTGATAAACAAGTCATTTGGCAACTCCTTAATCTCATAACCTGACAATGATAATGCCCTTAAGGATCTTAGTCTTGGCAGTATGTTATGCTGCACCCTCTTGCTTAGAGGGTAAAAATAATTGAGACCAATACATGTCGGAAGCAATGTCCTCAACTGCTCCAATTTGTAGAGGGGTGTCAATTTCTCAAAGTCACCATCTTTTCCCATGGAATAAGATAAGTGCCGACTTTTTTCCAACATATGAGATCCTTGCTTCTCTTCCAACCTGATACAAAGTTTTGAAGATGCAATTTGGGCTAAATCATTGACAAGATCATGCATTAAGAATAAATTCTCTATGTTCCCTTCAGAAGGATTTGGGACCCTTTCAAATAATGATCTTGATCTCAACTCCTGAAAGTATTGGTTGCCTAAATCTTCAATTATCCCATCGTCCTTTGGTACGAGACCATTAGCAATCCACAGATGAATAACTTGTTCTTTCCTAAATGGATAATCTTTAGGAAATATTGCACTAAAGGAAAAGCATCGTTTTAAATGTGCGGGAAGATCATTGTAGCTCAACATCAACGCTGGTAATATGTCCTTGTCTTGCAGCTCCCATATTTCACTTCTCAGAATACGTTTCCACCCTTCAACCTCTGATTTGGAGCGTAACATGCCAGCCAGCGTCTTCAGAGCTAAAGGCAGTCCTTTGCACTTATCTGCAATTTGTTTACCGACCTCTTCAAGTTCCGGATGTCCCATAGGATCCATGTTTTCAAATGCATGTCTTTTAAATAAAGACCAAGAGGCTTCAATAGACAAATTGTCCATGCTAATCTGCTCATTTCCCATCATCAAGGCAACACTCTCTTTACGTGTCGTCACAATGATCTTACTTCCTATATCTCCTTGTACAAAAATATTTCTCAATTCATCCCATTTATTGTAGTTGTCATTCCACACATCATCCAGAACAATAAGAAACTTCTTTCCCTTTAAGCTTTCCTTCAATTTGACTTGTAGCTGATTAAGATTGTCATCAACCTTCAAGTCAGTTGACCCAATTTCTTGAAGTAGCCCTTTTGTTATTCTGAAAGCATCATATGCCTCAGAAACACAAAACCAAGCTTTCAGACCAAAATGTTTCTGCACTCTCTCATCATTGTAAACCTCTTTAGCAAGTGTCGTCTTACCCAGGCCACCCATTCCAACAATAGGAACTACAGCCAGATTTTTTCCTTTTGTATCCTTAGACAATAAACAGCCAATCAAATTCTCTATTTCATTCTGCCTTCCAAAGATACCAGCATCATCAACCAAAGAAGTTGAAGGTGTTCTAGTTTCTTGTTTAGTCGAAACAAAATGCTCCTTTAAGCCAAGGCGACCAATTTGCTTTTCCAACCCCTCCAATTTTTTAATAGTGTCTTCCAACTTCTTATTTATGTTAAGAAAGAAATCATCACTCAAGGACAGGTTAAGGTCACTTACTTGCTGGTTGCTTGTTTCTGCAAGATTTTGAAGCTGACCTTCCACTTTAAGTCTCAAAGCTTCATAATTGACTTGTTCTATCAAGTTTTCAGCACCGTCCACAGCAGTCTGAAGCTTATTTAACCACTGGCTCACAAATTGATTTGATGCTTGCTTATTCTCTGCATCACTTAGCACAATTTGAAGACCAAGCAGAATGTCCCCCAGCTTCTCAAAGAGCTGAACATCATCTGTATGCTTCTGAAACATGTTGAGAAGATCACCGTGAGGAGCAAGCCTATCAAAGAGAACATTCAAAGCTGAAGAGAGAAATGCACCACCAACTGCTAAGCCAATCTCCATTTCTGAAATCTGCAAAGCAAAACAAGGAAACACAATATGATTCTTTAAGAAGATATATCTTCAAATAGTCTCAGTTTATAAGAGCTTTAGTTTACTTGTTGAATGTTAAGAGTAATTTGCAAACAAGAATGATCAATGATTGCTCTCTCTCTCTCTTTTGCTTGTAATTAGTAAAACTGTCCTTTTTACTCTTTTCAAAAAGTATAATTCAACTAATTGAATAATTGAGGCAATAGAGGAAGGTATCTTTTGCTTTATGTCGATTCATTACTTTTGTTTTATGCACTTGTCCATTTTTCAACAGCTCATTGTATATCATGTATACGTTTTAGAATTGTGAAGAATGGGATTCTGTTCCATTTTTCCTTTTCTCTAGGTATTATTTTTTCTATGTTTACATGAGCCGATGGTCTATCGGAAACAACTTTTCTACCCTACAAGTTAGTGGTAAGGTCCGCATACACACCCCACTTGTATGTTGTTGCTTCTATTCTTCTATGTTGAAGGTCCCTATTTAGGTCCATGTACAACTCTGTCCCAATGGATAAACTGAAAACAAGGATTCACCATTTTATTGTTCTTTCAAATCAAAAAAAGAAAAATAAAGAGAGAAAAATCAAATAGATATCAAAATGCCTTTTCTCCATGTTAGCAAATCAAACTAACAAGAAATTGCAGAAAGTATATCTATTGAACTCTTGAAGAAATTGAACCAAAAGTCTTTTCAGAAAAAAAAAGGGTAATATGATAACTCTTGAAGAAATTGAACCACCAATAGTGGAGGCTAATATTGTTCAGTAGATTCTCAGATCAACAATTAAAACTGCAAAGCAAAAAAATAATCAAAAACAATAAACATTCAATAACGTAGTGATTGACATACATCAAAATTTAAATATACAAATACCATACATTAATAGAGCATTTTGCTTGTTAATTGGTTCTCTTCAAAAATATTTGCACTTGCATAGTTATATTTTTTAGTCTACACTTGTATATCCAATACAACTGATATGAGTTGTGGTGGGATAGTTGAGATTTTTCTACCATTATTTAAAATTTAGAAGCACGAGTTGTGGAATTTGGAATGGAGAAAAATATGTCAGGAGTCGCCCCTAAAATGTGCAAAAATTGATGTGGATACCTAAAATGAGTAAGAAAATAATATATCCACTATAAAAATATATAACACGTTGCTAATGAAAAAATTTACTATGAAAGAGGTACAACTTGTATTAGTTGTATGATGGTATTTTTTATTGCAATTATATTCTGATTTATGGGACCTACTTTTATTTTTATTTCTTTGCCTTTTGTTTCTCTTTCATGGTCTTCTCTTCTTTTTTTTCTCGTCAGTTTTTCTTTTAAAAAAATATATTTGAAAACCAATTCAATTACTCCTTCCATTTTATAATATAAATAAAAATATATTTTATTTTTTATGGTTAAATAATTACCTAAGATATTAATAGTCAAATTTAAATACGAATATAATTTGTATTCATATCGTAGGATTAAACCGTTTTTCATTTATCGTATTTTAAAATTTTCATCTTTCTAATTCATTTCTTTTTAACTTCTACTTTTAGGATCCATTTAAACATAAAAATTATTTACTTTTTAAAAATAATCTATTTTTAGCTCACTTTTCACTTTTGAGATTGTATTAAAGTACATTCAAACATGAACATCATTTCGAATATTTTTTGCAAAAATCATTCGAATATATACAAGTTTAATTATATTTGTATTTAGAGATTCAAATTTTCTGACAAAAATATTTCAGCAAATTTTCTTTTTGTCAATTCCTAATATTGAGAAATAATTTTGATAAAAATTTCAATTTAGAAGAAAAACGTTCGAAGTTGGAGAAGAATGATGTCCTGATTTTTTATTTTTTATTTGGATATGATGAGCTTAAAGAATAGTGGATCCCATAATTCATTTTATTTATATCATTTAATATAATTTTATTGGGTCATGTCAATTTTAAATTTTATTTTCTCTTTCTTTCTAATGTTTGGAGCTTTAAAGTCAAAGAATGGACCCACTTTATTCAAGTGTCAAAGAATAAGTGGAGCCCCACACAATTTTTGTTGGTTGTGCTTCTACCATACTAAAATTTGTCGTTGCTAACTACGAAAATAATATATCCACCTATCTCTCTTTTTTGCTAGTGGTACAACTATGTTTTAGCCACACAAAAAAAACAACAAAAATATCCTTTTTCCCAATTCAATAATTGAAGCAAGAGGAGAAGGTGTATTTAGGGGAAAGGGGGCCCACCCAGGTGGGGGATTCAAAAAATAAAATGGGAATTGAAAACATAATAGGGAAAAGGCTCAAATATGCCATCGAACTTTCAGAAAAAGCTCATTTATGCCATCCGTTAAAAGTTTGGCTCATCTATGCCATTACCGTTTAAGAAAAGGCTCATTCATGCCATTATTTTTTAACGGTGATTTTGTAAAACCATTTTTTACACGTGGCCAATTATAATTCGGCCACGTCATTATTTTTTTTATAATAAAAAATCAAAATTCTGAAAAAAAATAATAATGATGTAGCCGAATTATAATTGGCCACGTGTAAAAAATGGTTTTACAAAATCACCGTTAAAAAATAATGGCATGAATGAGCCTTTTCTTAAACGGTAATGGCATAGATGAGCCAAACTTTTAACGGATGACTTAAATGAACTTTTTCTAAAAGTTGATGGCATATTTGAGCCTTTTCCCAACATAATATAAAAGGGGAAATGACGATTTTAGTCCCTATAACAGTGCCTCTAAAGTCGACTAATCTATTTATTTTCCTTTTTTTTTAACATTCTTTTTCTCCCCTTTTTTGTTATTTTTTTTAATTTCATGTTGCATTTATTTATCCATCAAATTTAATTACACCAGTAGTAGATAGTAGAACAGAAATTAGGCCTTCAATTGCCAAACCCATTTACAGATTTGTTTTGCAGGTAACTCAATATTTTCAAATCTTCACAAAAATGAATTGATTCTGATTTTTGGTCTTTGATTGTTTACTATATTGTTTGGATTCAGGTGACAGAGTTAGTTAGTGAGAAGTAGCACATCTCTGTTGGAATTAGTTGAGGTCTTGCTACTGTAGTTTGTTGTTATTAATATCTGTTGTTTCTTGTACCTCGATTATATATCGTATTGTTTTGTTCTAGTTTTTGTATTATTACTATCTGTTGTTTCTTGTATCTCAATTATATATCGTATCATTTTGTTCTAGTTTTTGTTTTGTTACTTTCTTGTATCTCAATTATATATCGTATCATTTTGTTCTAGTTTCTGTTTTGTTACTATCTGTTGTTTCTTGGATCTCAATTATATATCCTATTGTTTTGTTCTAGTTTCTATTTTGTTTACTGTCTGTTGTTTTTGTTATTACTATGTACTTCCGTTACTTCTTTTTCAGAAATGCTTTGGACTTTTTTTTTGGAAATAGCCTATCTACCTCTGAGGTAGGGGTAATGTATGCGTACCCTCCCCAAACTCCACTTTGTGGAACTACATTGGGTATGAGAGGTTTTGATTGTCTCAAGGGGATTAAACATTACTATGCTTACATATAAAAAATAATTTTGGCTTTGTATACATGTATGGTGCTATTTTTCGGGGAGGGGGTGGATCGGATGAACCCCTTTGCGTCCCATTAGTTCTACCCCTGACTCGTAGTATGGTAAGAGAGAGGTTTTTTGGGTTTAATAACAGTAGTGTCTAGGTTAGCAGCTGCGGAAATCTCAACTAATCAACTTTATACCGGTAATCGATCCTGTCAATTAAGGCTTAGGTAGATGAAATGAATTCGTCATTTCATCTGATCCGTGAGGTTGTTATTTCAAACTCTTGTCCTATTAGTCTATATGTACCTTCGTTTGAAATAGTGTTCTTTTTTCTTCTCCCCGAAAGGATTCTAAAGGAGAAAAGGTTAGAAACATTGGACTTAAGTGATGGGAGATGCTTGTAAGTATGCAGTTGTTACAGGAGCAAACAAGGGAATTGGCTTTGAGACTGTTAAGCAGCTCGCCAATTCAGGTGTAACAGTTGTCTTAACTGCCAGAGATGAAAAGAGAGGAACTGAAGCAACATCCTTGCTGAATGAACAAGGATTTTCAAATGTTGTGTTTCATCAGCTTGATGTTCAAAATGCTCAGAGCATTGATTCCTTAGCAAAGTTCATACAAAAACAATATGGGAGGCTTGATATTCTGGTAAGAGCATGAATCTATGTATTGCTCCTCATTAGATCTCGAGGCAAATATTAATTGGACAGTTGCTTCATAAATTTCTGCAGGTAAATAATGCTGGAGCTTCTGGAGTTGTACCTAATGAAGATGTCCTAAGGGCCATGAACATAGATCTTGTAGACTGGGTAAGATAATTTGCTCAATGCTTAGGTCTTGTTTTGTTTTGCGATTCGATCTCATATCTAAGCTTTGAGGTAGGCGATGGTCCATGTGTGTGGTCTGATCTTGCTCTGACAAACAACTCAAACTTGGCCTCAATCGGCAAGTAAACACTTCAACTTCGAGTATGCACATTTAGACGCCTCCAAAATTTATGTGACACGACAGCATAGTGTCCACAAGACATAGTGGGATGAGTTGAAGTGCTTACTTGTCAATTGATGCCAAGTTTTTGAGCATTTGTTTATATGGCCGATCCTAACTTGTTTGAGACTGAGACGTAATTGTTGTTATTGTAAACAGTTACCAGGGAAAACTTTCGATGACATTCAAGCTGTGATGAAAACAACGTACAAGCAAGCCAAATTATGCTTGGACACTAATTACTATGGTGTTAAGAATGTTACTGAAGCTCTTCTTCCATTGCTGCAAAATTCCCCTTCACCAAGGATTGTTAATGTCTCCTCCCGTAAAGGTGCTTTAAATGTGAGTTAGACAGTCATTCTCGTCGTTGCTGAACATTTCATATTTCTTGTTGATTTTTTCTTCTCACACAGCGAATGCCAAACGAGGAGAGGAGAAAGGAGCTCGGAGATATTGTAAACCTGACAGAAGAAAAAATCGACGAGATTCTGCAGAATTTTTTGCATGATCTGAAACAAGATGCTCTCGAGGTGAACGGTTGGCAGATGAGTGGACCAGTCTATAGCATATCAAAACTATTACTTAATGCTTACACCAGAGTTCTTGCAAGAAAGTACCTGAAAATGTGTATTAATTGTGTCCATCCTGGTTTCGTCAACACAGATATAACCTGGCATACAGGAACAATGCCTGTTGAGGAAGGAGCTGAAGGACCTGTCATGCTAGCTCTTTTGCCTGATGGAGGACCTACTGGTTGCTACTTTGATCGTACAGTAGTCTCCGAGTTTTAGATATAACAATAACTATGCCTCAGTTCCAAACAAGTTGGTAAGGTTTAGTGAAAGAAAAGTTTCTTTTAGCATCTCTTGATATTTGGTTAAATTTCTGAGCCTGGTTGGTGTCCAGACGTTGAAATGACGAGGGGAGGGAAGGATTATACTGATCATTCCTCCATTCTTAGACATCATTTGTGGAACTACACTGGCTATATGGTTCTTTTTCCTGCTTGATATCATTTAGTAGTTCTTTTCTATTTTAGGATAATGATTATCTGGTAAGTGTAGATCATGAACATGATATCACATCATTTCATATATTGAAAAGCATAATAACTAAGAGATAAGTCTCTAAAATTGTGATAACATTAAAAGTTGAGGTACCAAAATGGTTATTACAAAGCAAACTGATTATAAGCTGAAGTGAAATCCTAAAAACTAGTCCAGCACTGAGGCAACTGACTCAGTTTGCACTGTTCCATTTGAGTCGTTATGCACGAGAGAAATTGCATAATAATCTACTGTAAACTGATGAGGCACTCTCGTGTATCAAGAAATTTTTCAAAAAATGCGTGAGCTTTCTTAGCCTGATTTCAATCTCCAATCTGGAAGCAGAGGAACAGGAAGAGTCGATTTTTCGTCCTATGAGGATCGAATGTTTGTATCTCAGTGTGTAATACTCGGTCAAGGGAATAAATCTTGAATGTCAAGGATATCAGCTAGGACACCAGCTGCTGTGGTATCATTTCCTGCTCCAGTACCTTGGATAACCGAAGGTTGTTTCTCGTAACAACGGATGTATATCTCCACCTGCAGACAAACGAATTACAGACATTCAATCATCATAGTCATTCTTCGACAAAAGCAAGTCACTAATCTTACTATTTGTATAACCTTAGCTGCACAAAGTTTTGCAGGGCGATTCCAGATGATGCGTGAAGAGTAAAGACAAAGTAAGGCGTTAGCCTAGGCATGGGCAAAAGATAAGGAATTCTTTAAATCACAGCATGATGTTATACATCACTACACTAAATGACATCACAAAAGGGCTTTAAACAATTAAAAATGTTTTACCTTGATAATCTAATAACGATGCGTATGATATAGTTGAACCTCCATAGCAGTAAAAAGAAAATTCCCAACGGAAAACAAAGTAATGGAACAAGAAGAGGAGGCACCAAAGAAACAGCAAAATTGAGGTGAAAGTGCACAATGCATACCACATTATGAGAAGGATACCCATTGATGAAATCCCACATATCTGGAATGGAACCCCTAGCTTACAACCTTGAACAAAGACTTGAAGATGAAGAACCTTTGTTTCTTCCTTGAGAGGATTTAAGAGCACTGTTTTTAAGTTCCGAGTGTTAGGCGTGAATGGGGAGGTTTGGGTCGACTAAATTCCCCTCAACCCCACTTAGAATAGGTTAAATTATCATCCTTTATAAGGAAAAACTAGTAAAGACTAAAGCAGACATGTTTAGAAAAGCCTATTTTGTTAGTCCTCTACTGTCAAACTCCCTATACCAATTTCCGTCGTCTTTTGAACCTAAGACCAATTGCAGTCCATGTCCTTTAATGTAGCTTGGAAGGTAGTGACGAGAGTAAAGCAGACATGTTTAGAAAAGCAGATTAACAATACAAGTGATCTTCAAAACTTATTTGGACGTACAGTAAATTGCAACAAAGTGTAGTAAGTAAGACGGCATCATATTTTGAACGGCTTTTATGAATCAGCTAAAACTAGACGAATTAATAAGAGATGGCTTTTTCTTTGTTATGCTGTCAATTCTAAGAAGTAAAATACAACCTAAAGAGGTTTGTTTCCGATAGACCCCTGACTTGAGAACAGGTTTTAAAGAAGGAGGCGTAAAATCTTTTCCTATTTACAGGCTGTTCTGGAAGAACTCCAGAGACACAAGAAACGGAAAAGAAATGTCACGACGACCCTTAAACCATCCAATATTCATACTGATGTAACAGAATCTTGCAAGAGTTTCTCCATACCTTAGACATGTTCTTTTTATGTGGTGATGGCCATTGTCTCCTCGTAAGTATACATTTCCATGGATGATTGATGTATATTCTTTCTTCTTATGATTTCAAGAATATCCCCAACCTACATAAATGTTTGCAAGGAAATATATATGCTTCAATAGAAACCAATTGACAAATCTTCGTTATCCATGATCATGTTGTGGCACGATTAAATATGTGCAAACATTGACGAATAGTGCAAATACAATGTATCTATGATTCATTTAAAAAGATTTTCTACAGTGACAGATCTTTATTCTACTGCAAGCAAAGTTTCATTCTTGACATGGAATCTTCGATGCTTACAAGAACTAAAAACTTCCGATTAAACATGGTTGCACAAGCTACATATGATGTCTTTTGCAATTAAGATGTGAAATTAAAACGTGAGCAATGAAAATCGAGTAAAACTTACCCGCACCTGGTATGTACACCAACCCAATACATGCATGTCATGATGGCGAATAATTATATTCCAGTCTGCAAGATGAAGAGTGAGATTTGTCACAAGAATATATGAATTGCTATTGTTTTGAATCTCCAAAGGCAATAAACATCCAGCTGACATATATTAAGCAATCAACTTTCTGGAGCAAATTATCTCAATTCCTACCTAGATTAGATTTCTTTCACAATGTTCCAATGCACATATAAATATTTGATCCTGATCTAAAGATATTTCATCAACTTACATCTATCGGACACCACTCGTCTTAATCATTACAAGTTTTCCCAATCAACATTTATGGTGGAAGTATGAGCAATTTTTGGCCTATAGTTGTGGTTTGAGCAATAAATGTTCCACACTGCTCAACAAGCTTTTAAAAGGGGGGGATTAACAAAAGGCCAAAGTGGTTGGAGATTAAAAAGTAAACAAAAATAAAAAAACTTCTGATGGAAAAGAATAACTTACATCTCTTGGAGAGCCATTCGTTTAATCATCACAGGAATTTCAAATCGATATCAATGATGGGAATTTGAGCAATATTTGGCCAGTATTCCCCCTTGTCAAATTCTAGTAGTGGTGTGAGCAATGGACAGTTAGAAATAGATAGTTTAGAGAGGGAAGAGGGCATCCCTTTTACTAGAAGAGATTGGAGATTAGGGCAATGGGAGATGTCCAGCTCAGAGAGGGAGGAGGGAAGTACTGATTTGGAAAGTGATTGGAGATTAGGGCAATCATAGATGGTTAGCTTAGAGAGAGAGGAGGGCAGTGCTGATTCAGAAAGTGATTGGAGATTATGGCAATTCCCGATGTGTAAGCTTTGAAGCGAAGTGAGGTGGCAAAGACCAAGTGAATGGAGCTCATGATGTCTATATAAATGTAGCTCAGAAAGAGATGACGGAAGCCGCCCTGGTTCCAGCAGTGACTGAATTTGAGGTAAATTAGCAATACGTAGATATTGAAGAGAGGTGAGGCTTTTGAGATGTTGGCTGCTTAATGTTTTCAGACTGTCTATGGTTAGTCTTTGAATAGAGGAAGGCAACTCCCAATTCTCACAAGCAAGAATCTCTTCGATCACTAACTCTATGAGACAGGGAAGTCTCTGTAAATGCCACTCCTTTCTTCCGATCACTAGTTTCTTGCAATTGACAATCTGAAGGACTTGCAAATTGGAGGGTAATCCTCCTTCAGGAAAAAACTCTACTTCTGGACAATTAAACAGATACATTTCCTTAAGAGATGGAAGGAGTTCCTGCATACGTTCTGGCAGACACTTCAGCTTCCTACACTGGGCAATACTCAGTGACGTCATTTGGGTCCCCCCACATGCCACCGAAAGTTTTTCAACATTCATACAATTCCAAATAAAGAGACTTTCGGTGGCAGTAGGAATCAAAAACCTAGTAAGGTTGTGGCAACTCTCTACACTCAATTTGCGTGCTCTTGGGAGCAACTCAGGTGATACATCATCTATACATTCACATTCTTCCACTCTCAAATCCTCTAGAAGCATGTTACAATAACCAACTGGCGCCTTCAATTTCAATTTCTGGCAACCAGATATGTATATTGTATTCAAGGTACTCAGCAGAATGCTAAAAGGAAAAGAGGTAAGAGAGTTACAATCAACAATAGATAATCGCTCAATCTGCTTCATTCCCTCAAGTTGGATGGGTATCTCCACACTGAGTTCAGGGCAATTTTTAATTGAAAGGTTCTTAAGTGTAGGGAACTCTCCATTACCTAGTACGTGCCATTGCTTCCACTTCGACATATATGCAAATTCAAGCTCCTCAAGAGAGTTAAAAGACTTTTTGGATGACGAACTACCATAGAATTCTTCTGTCACCTTTGTTATTCGGTGCATCCCTCTAATGGAAAGGATTTTCAAAGAAGGAAGCTGTCCTAGTGCTGGCAAGGTATCACAGTCCTTGCAGTTTCTAAGAGACAATTTAACTAGCTTAAGAAACAAAGGATCAGCTAGCCAATTTGGAAATTTCTTCCCTCTATATCCGGTGATTCGGAGTTCCTTTATGTTTGTATGTGGGTGTAGATCGTCAAGTATGTCTCTTTCAGTTTGTGAATTGTCGGCACTACTTTCACTCCACTCCAGAGATAACTTCTCAACATGATTCTTCTCCCTCATCTTTGCTTTCGCAGCTTCCCTTCTATCAACCACATTTTGCAACTCTAGAATCGATAGAGATCCATACAAGTTCTGTGCTTCGCCCAAATCATCCATTCTCGAACCACCGTGACCACCTAAAAGAAACTTGGCTCCCACTAGCACTTGGAGGCTTTTCAACTTGCTTAGATGTAGCGGCATCTTCAAGCAGAAACTGTTAGCTTATGTCAAGATGACGCAAGTTAATCAACTTCTCCATCTGCAGCGGTAGCTCCTCAAGATAAGCACAAGATGACAGGAGAAGTACCTCTAAGTTATACAATACACAAATGGAATCAGGCAACTTTCTAATCCATGTCTGAGAAAGGTCCAAAAATCTGAGGAGCTTAATTTGATAAACAAGTCATTTGGCAACTTCTTAATCCAGTAATGAGACAATGATAGTACCCTCAAGGATCTTAGTCTTGGCAGTATGTTATGCTGCACCCTCTTGCTAAGTGGAGCACCATCATGGAAACTGATTGCTTTTCAACTTGCTTAGATGTAGCGGCATCTTCAAGCAGAAACTGTTGCTTATGTCAAGATGACGCAAGTTAATCAACTTCTCCATCTGCAGCGGTAGCTCCTCAAGATAAGCACAAGATGACAGGAGAAGTACCTCTAAGTTATACAATACACAAATGGAATCAGGCAACTTTCTAATCCATGTCTGAGAAAGGTCCAAAAATCTGAGGAGCTTAATTTGATAAACAAGTCATTTGGCAACTTCTTAATCCAGTAATGAGACAATGATAGTACCCTCAAGGATCTTAGTCTTGGCAGTATGTTATGCTGCACCCTCTTGCTAAGTGGAGCACCATCATGGAAACTGATTGGAAGCAATGTCCTCAGCTGCTCCAATTTGTAGAGGGGTGTCAATTTCTCAAGTCACCATATCCCATTGAATAAGATAAGTGCCGACTTTTTTCCAACATATGCGATCCTTGACTCTCTTCCAACCTAATACAAAGTTTTGAAGATGCAACTTGGGCTAAATCATTGACAAGGTCATGCATTAAGAATTTCTCTATGTTCCCTTCAGAAGGATTTTTGGACCCTTTCGAATAATGATCTTGACCTCAACTCGAGAAAGTATTGGTTTCCTGAATCTTGAATAATTTTATCATCCTGCAGTATAAGACCATTGGTAATCCACAGATGAATAACTTGTTCTTTCTTGAATGAATAATCTTTAGGAAATATTGCACAATAGGAAAAACACCGCTTTAAATGTGCAGGAAGATCATTGTAGCTCAACATCAATGCTGGTAATATGTCATTGTGTGGCAGCTCCCATATTTCACTTCTCAAAATATGTTTCCACTCTTCAACCTCTGATTTGGAGCGTAACATGCCAGCAAGCGTCTTCAGAGCTAAGGGCAGTCCTTTGCACTTGGCTGCAATTAGTTTTCCAACCTCTTCAAGTTCTGGATGTCCCATAGGATCCATATGTTCAAATGCATGCCTTTTAAATAAAGACCAAGAGACTTCAATAGACAAATTGTCCATGCTAATTTGCTCCTTTCCCATCATCAAAGCAACACTCTCCTTACGTGTAGTCACAATAATCTTACTTCCCATATCTCCTTGTACAAAAAGATTTCTCAAGTCATCCCACTCGTTGTAGTTGTCATTCCACACATCATCCAAAACAATAAGGAACTTCTTTCCCTTTAAGCTTTCCTTCAATTTGACTTGTAGCTGATTACTCTACATTCTTCAAAAGTTATTTTTGTTCTTTAGAAGATAAAAATCATTCTTGAAAATATTATTGCTGAATTTTAAATTTAACAAAACTGAATTCCTTGTTTGAATGATATTCTTTACATTTTGGTCATTTTTCACACTTTCTTCCCTGTCATTTTCTCCGTTTTACATTTTCTACTTTATAAATAAATGATGATAATGTTGGAGAGAATAAGTACTCTGCAACTTGAGGTTATTCATTACAACATTTGTCTTGTTTTGTATAGTTGGCAGTTGAAGAAAAGAAAAGACCAAAATCATTATCCATGTACAACACTGTCCCAATTGATGATTATCTTCAAGAAAAGAGGGAAAAATCACTGAGAAAAAAAAAACTAACAAGAAATTGCAGAAAGAGTAAAATGAGTATGCTTGATTCCAGAAGAATACATAACATGTAAGAAGCAAAAACACTAAAGAAAGTTTTGACAAAGTATGAACTCAATACACATACATCATTTAATCAGTATTAACATCAAAAAATTATGCAAACAAAGTGTCCCCTGTTTCCTATACATTTTACGCTGCATTTACAGTTTTCTCTAACCATTTGCTTCCAGAAATTCCGGTTTCTCAATACACAAAGTCCATTATGGAATCGTCTTTTGCTTTCCATCTTGGTATCCAGAGTAAAAGGAACATCATTGTTGTTGTAACATAATCTTGCAAGAGTTTCTCCATACCTTAGACGTGTTCTTTTTATGTGGTGGTGGCCATTGTCTCCTCGTAAGTATACATTCCCATGGATGATTGATGTATATTCTTCTTTCTTATGCTTTCAAGAACATCCCCAACCTATATAAATATTTGCAAGGAAATCCTTAGTTATCCATGGTCATCTTGTGGCACAATTAAATATGTGCAAACATTGAAGGATAGTGCAAATACAATGTATCTTGCATAGATTCATTTGAAAGGATTTTCTATAGTGACAGCACATCTTCGTTCTATTGCTAAGTAAAGTTTCATTCTTGACATGGGATCTTTGATTCTTACAAGAACTAAAAACTTTCTATTAAACATGGTGGCACAAGCTACATATGATGTCTTTTGCAATTGAGATGTGAAATTAAAATGTTGTAAGAGCATAAACCAATAACCAATGAGAAACCAATTCAATACCTGCCATCCAAGAAATACGCAATAATATAACGCACAACAATTAGCTACAAGTTTTATAACATCTAATTCTGATGATTGAAGTTTACTTAATTCCTAAAATTTATGATCGTTATCCGTGATTATCTTTTCAAAAATTTAGATTCTCTATGGAGCTTAAAAATAAAGCTATGTGTTTGATGATGAGTACGGCATTATTTATATCCTGAAAAGAAAATTAAACGCCATTAGTAGCAAAGAGATACATCTTTCTGATTATCACACAAATTTATGTATAAACAGTTCAAAGAATAAACATAACGCTAATAGTAAGTGATAACAAAACTACCAGGGGAGAGGGCATCCCTATTACAGGAAGGAATTGGAGGTTAGGGCAGTTATTGATGGTCAGCTCAGAGAGGGAGGAGGACAGTGCTGATTCGAAAAGTGATTTACAAATATAAAGAGAAGTAACCAAAAAGATTTACACAAAGAAAAACAATTAAGAAACAAGCAAAGAGAAGTAACCAAAAATCAAAAGATACTTGGGAAATAAAATAACTTACTCGTTTTAATCATTAAGAGTTCTCCCAATCAACAATTATGGTGGAAATATGAGCAATTTTTGGTCAGTAGCTGTGGTTTGAGCAATAAACTGTCCATACTGCTCAACAAGATAAAAGGAAAGAATTAACAAAAATGCAAAGTGAAGTAAGCAAAAATAAAAAGCTTCCGATGAAAAAGAATAACTTACATCTGTTGGAGAACCATTTGTTTTAATCATCACAGGCATTCCCGATCGATCACTATGGTGGGAATTAGAGCAATATTTGGCCAGTATTCCCCCTTGTCAAATTCTAGTAGTGGTCTGAGCAATGGACAGTTGGAAATAGATAGTTTAGAGAGGGAAGAGGGCATCCCTTTTACTGGAAGGGATTGGAGGTTAGGGCAATCCTTAATGGTCAGCTCAGAGAGGGAGGAAGGCAGTGCTGATTCGGAAAGTAATTGGAGATTAGGGAAATTCCTGATTTGTAGACGTCGAAGCGAATTGAGGTGCGAGGAGGAGGAAAACCGGACTTCTTCCAGCATTGACTGAATTTGAGGCAAATTAGCAATACATAAATATTCAAGAGAGGTGAGGCTTTTGAGAACTTTGCTACTTAATGTTCTCAGATTGCCTATGGTAAGCTTTTGAATAGAACAAGGCAACTCCCAATGTTCGATATCTTCGTCACTGCCATCATGTACGATGAATAACTCCCTGAGACAGGGGAGTCTTTGTATACGCCACTCCTTTCGGCCGTTCACCAGTTTCTTGCAATTCCAGATCTTAAGTTGTTGTAAATTGAAGGGCAATCCACCTTCAGGAAAGGACTCTATTTCCGGACAATTACACAGTTCCAGTTTCTTAAGAAATGGAAGGAGTTCCTGCATATGTTCTGGCAGCCACTTCAGCTTTTCACAGTCGTCAATATACAAATACGTCATCTGGGTCCCCCCACATGCCACCGGAAGTATTTCAAGATTCTCACAATTCAAAATATAGAGTCTTTCAGTCGCAGTAGGAATCAAAAATCTACTAAGGTTGTGGCAACGACTTACACTCAATTTGTGTGCTCTTGGGAGCAACGCAGGTGATATATCATCTATACAATCACATTCTTCCAGTATCAAATCCTCAAGAAACACGTCATAATAACTCATCTCACCAACAGACGCCTCCAATTTAAATTTCTGGCAACGAGATATCCTTATTGTCTTCAAGGTACTCGGCAGAATGCTAAAAGGAAAGGAGGTAAGAGAGTTACAATCAGTAATAAATAATCCCTCAATCTGCTTCATTTCCTCATGTTGGGATGTAAACAGTTTAGGTGTCACCAAATTGAGTTCAGGACATCTTGAAATTCTCAATTCTATCAGAGAACAAAGATTTTCAGGCAACTTCCCCATCAACTTCGGACAATTTTCAATTGAAAGGTTCTCAAGTGCAGGAAACTCTCCATTCCCTAGTGCATGCCATTGCTTCCACTCTGGCATATCTTCAAACTCTAACTTCTGAAGAGACTTGAAAGGGTTTTTCGAGGACGAACTGCCATAGAATTCTTCCGTCACCTCTGTTATTCGATGCATCCCTCTAATGGAAAGATATTTCAAACAAGGAAGTTGTCCTACTGCTGGCAAGGAATCACAGTCCTTGCAGTTGCTAAGAGACAATTGTACTAGCTTAAGAAACGAATGATCAGCTAGCCAATTTGGAAATTTTGTTCCTCTATATCCGGTGATTTGGAGTTCTTTTATGTTTCTATGTGGATGTAGCTCAGCAAGTATGTCTCTTTCAGTTTGTGAGTTGTCGGCACTACTACGACTCCACTCCAATGATAACTTCTCAACATGATTCTTCTCCCTTATCTTTGCCTTCACAGCTTCCTTTCTATCAACCACATTTTGCAAATCTAGAACTGATAGAGATCCATACAAGTTCTGTACTTCACCCAAATCTTCCATTCTCAAACCACCGCAACCACCTAGTAGAAACTTGGCTCCCACTAGCACTTGGAGGCTTTTCAAATTGCTCAGATGTAGCGGCATTTTCAAGAGAGAAGTGTTGCTTATGTCAAGATGACGCAAGTTAATCAACTTCTCCATCTGCAGCGGTAGTTCCTCAAGATGATGACAATGTGACAGGAGAAGTGTCTCTAAGTTATACAATACACAAATGGAATCAGGCAACTTTTCAATCCTTGTCTGAGAAAGGTCCAAGAATCTGAGGAGCTTTAATTTGATAAACAAGTCCTTTGGCAACTCAACAATCTCATAGCGTGACAACGATAATGCCCTCAAGGATCTTAGTCTTGGCAGTATGTAATGCTGCACCCTCTTGCTTAGATAGTAACAATAATTGAGATCAATACATGTCGGAAGCAATGTCCTCAGCTGCTCCAATTTGTCAAGGGGTGTCAATTTCTCAAAGTCACCATAACCCATTGAATATGCTAAGTGTTGACTTTTTTCCAACATACGAGATCCTTGGCTCTCTTCCAACCTGATACAAAGTTTTGAAGATGCAATTTGGGCTAAATCATTGACAAGGTCATGCATCAAGAATGTCTCTATGTTCCCTTGAGAAGGATTTGGGACCCTTTCAAATAACGATCTTGATCTCAACTCGAGAAAGTACTGGTTTCCTGAATCTTGAATAATTTTATCTTCCTGCAGTATTAGACCATTAGCACTCCACAAATGAATAACTTGTTCTTTCCTAAACGGATAGTCTTTGGGAAATATTGCACAATAGGAAAAGCATCGCTTTAAATGTGCGGGGAGATCATTGTAGCTCAACATCAACGCTGGTAATATGTCATTGTGTGGAAGCTCCCATATTTCACTTCTCAAAATACGTTTCCACCCTTCAACCTCTGGATTGGAGCGTAACATGCCAGCGAGCGTCTTCAGAGCTAAGGGCAGACCTTTGCACTTAGCTGCAATTTGTTTTCCGACCTCTTCAAGTTCCGGATGTCCCATAGGATCCATGTTTTCGAATGCATGTCTTTTAAATAAAGACCAAGACACTTCTATAGACAAATTGTCCATGCTAATTTGCTCATTTCCCATCATCAAGGCAACACTCTCTTTACGTGTCGTCACAATGATCTTACTTCCTATATCTCCTTGTACAAAACATTCTCAAGTCATCCCACTCATTGTAGTTGTCATTCCACACATCATCCAGAACAATAAGAAACTTCTTTCCCTTTAAGCTTTCCTTCAATTTGACTTGAAGCTGATTAAGATTGTCATCAACCTTTAAGTCAAATGAACCAATTTCTTGAAGTAACCCTTTTGTTATTCTGAAAGCATCATATGACTCAGAAACACAAAACCAAGCTTTCAAACTAAAACGGTACTTCACCCTCTCATCATTGTAAACCGCTTTAGCAAGTGTTGTCTTACCCACGCCGCCCATTCCAACAATAGAAACTACAGTCAACTTTTTTCCACTTGCATCTTCAGATAATAAGCGGTCAATCAAATTCTCTACATCATTCTGCCTTCCAAAGATATCAGAATCATCAACCAAAGAAGTTGAAGGTCTTCTAGTTTCTTGTTTAGTCAAACCAAAATGCTCCTTTAAGCCAAGGAAACCAATTTGCTCTTGTAACTCCTTCAATGTTTCAATAGTGTCTTCCAACTTCTCCTTTATGTTGAGGAAAAATTCATCACTCAAGCACAGGTTGAGGTCACTTACTTGCTGGTTGCTTGTTTCTGCAAGATTTTGATACTGACCTTCCACTTTAAGTCGCAAAACTTCATAATTGACTTCTTCAATTAAGTTTTCAGCAGAATCCACAGCATCTCGAAGCTCATTAAGCCACTGGCTCACAAATTGATTTGATGCCTGCTTATTCTCTGCATCCCTTAGCACAGCTTGAAGACCAAGCAAAGTCATTCGCAGCTTCTTTAAGAGACGAACATCTTTCGCATGTTTCTGAAACATCTTGAGCAGATCACCCTGAGGAG